ACCCATCTTTCTTAAATGTGGTCTCTTCCGACCATAAAATTTTTTCAAAGAACTGTGGATCATTCCTGTGTCTTTCTAACATTGTGCGACAAAAAGTAACTCGGGGCTCATAATCCCGGGGCAGGAGAGGTTGAACACGCTGTATGTGGTATGGATGAAGCACATCACTTACTTGCTATTGCACACTTTGATACCGATCAGTACTCCTTCGTTTACTGCGCATCTTTACATGTTCGTGCTTGTTGATTTCGTACTGTTACTAATTTTGGATTCGTGAACTGGACTGTTGGATTTGGACTGTTTAATTGCTCTTCAAAACAACATTTGTTTTCCTTAAACTGTCTTTGATAGTGTGATGTGCAGTGCCGCTATGTCCGTGTACACCTTACAAGAATATGCTAACATGCACCTCATTTATGGGGAATGCAGATGCAACGCTAGTGCTGCAGCGAGACTTTACTGTGAGAGGTACCCGAATGCAGCTCGCCATCCAGATCATCGAGTGTTCACAAATGTGCACCGCTTACTGTTCTCAGAGAGCCAACTACCAAACCAATCACACGGTGAGGGAAGATCTTTCCTTCCTTACGAAGACGGGCTGCTAGGAGCTGTCGAAGAAGACCCGAGTACTTCAGTGCGTGCAATAGAACTAAAAACAGGTGTGAACAAAAGTACAGCCCTTAGAATCTTGCAAAAAAACGTGCTCCATCCATACCACGTACAGCGTGTTCAAGCTCTTCTGCCCCGGGATTATGAGCCCCGAGTTGCTTTTTGTCGCACAATGTTAAAAAGACACAGGGAAGATCCACGGTTCTTTGCTAAAATTACACATTTAAGAAAGATGGGTACATGAACCTGCATAACTTACACGAGTGGCACGTAGCAAACCCACATTTGATGAGAGAAGATAAATCTCAATATCGCTTCAAGATAAACCATTGGACAGGAATTTTAAATGGTAAAATAATCGGTCCGTTTGAGTTCCCAGAGACTTTGACTGCTGAGGTTTATTTAGATTTTTTTGCAAAATCATTTAGAAAATTTATTGGAGGACGTGCCACTGAGTATTTACAGGGGCATGTGGTTTCAGCATGATGGCTGCCCAGCGCACTATGCACTCTCAGTGAGAGAGTATCTCGATCAAAACCTTCCAGGCAGATGGATAGGGCGGTCTGGTACAATACCGTGGCAAGCTCGGTCACCAGATTTGAATCCGTTAGATTTTTTTACTGGGGAACTGTAAAAGAAAAAGTGGATTCGCTCGTTTAATAACCCGATCTTTTTTAAGAAGATGTCGAGCGTGTATTGCGGCTGAAGGAAAACAGTTTGAGCATTTGTTGTAAAGGTAAATCATCATCAGCAGCATTTTGACGCCCACTGTTGTGCAAACAGTTATCCTTAAGGGTCCTTGTGCGTTTTCATAATCGCTGTTTAATTAGGAAATTTTGAAAAATTTTCATCAGTTTGTCTTCAAATAAAAATTGTGCATAAGTTAACGAGTAAGCTTCTAAGTGTTATACCATTTTGGAATCCTTATTAAATGCACCAACTTTTAAGGTTACTTGCCAAACTCTCGTAGTACATTTTTTTCCAGTACAGCCAGTTAAAGTTGAGCAAAGTTTTACTTTGGAATACTTGGTTGGGAAATAAGTGGCAATCTTTTCTGAACGGGAAAAGTTGGCAGTAAGGTTGAGACATAAGTTTGAAGATGCATTATTCATCATTACATTGTAAAAATAAAATCCAAAAAAAGTTAATATTTGTAGTAACAGGAGTTGACAGACTGCCGTAGGGTGTGAAATTTCTATATTTTTTTCAAAGACCTATAATTTTCAAAACACATACATAAAATTTTTTAAATATTTTTCTGATAGCTGTTATGACTTTGCCTATCACCCGGTTTCGGTTTGACGTCGACTTCTGGGACACATAATTGTGATGCTAGCAAAGAAAACAGGACAGATTTAAATTGTCAAACAACTTACTCGTCGTTGAGGTTGCAGCCACAAGGTGTTTCAAAACGAACGTAGAGAAGATAGAACTTGTAATCAGTATAAAAACAAAAGGACGGGGACATTGGGCTTGTCGAAAACGACAGATACCTTCGTTACATGTTAAAAAAATCAATCCACCCGAACATATTAAAAACTATTAAACGTGAGAAGAAATTTTAGTGAAACAATCGGAATGCAGTTTCTAACCTCCTACTTCCGCTACACGTGGAGAGGGGGACGGCACGGAAAGATAATGCGTCGACAGATGACAAGTGATTGACGTGACGGACCGTGGAACTGTAAACATCATTGTCCAATTTGGGTATGAAGTATACGAGGGACGCTCGGTAAACCTCCACCCAAATTACTAAAATGCTGAATTAATTTGTTTTGGAAAAATGTGTAGATCATATGAGTGTACGAACGTGAGATAGCGATACAACCTTGAAAAGATGGATTATGTGAGTTTATATTAAAGATTGTGAGTGAGAAAATGTATTCTAATTTTGTGACGATGTTGGTTCGATTTGGATATGTAGCCGTTCTAGCTTTTCGCAATTCAACAGGTAGGAATAAATAACACTGAGCTGCTTAACATCAGCCTTTTTATTCATGTAATGATCTGTCATGAAAATGTGGGACATTTCTAAAAATAAACGTTTTGAGAGTCTTTTTTCTTTATCAAGAACCTCAATACTGCCATAGTTCATAGAGTGACCTGTGTTGTTAATATGAGATGCCAAAGAACATCTCTCTGGATATAATCTGGCGTCACTTTTTTCTGAAGTTATCCTGCCTTTCAGTGACCTAGAAGTTTGGCCTATATAAACTAAATTACAGTTGTTGCAATTAATGCGATAGACAGTGTTGGTTGAATCAAGTCCTATCGCCCTTATCATAGATAACTCGTTGTCCTTCCGTCACCAAGTAAGTAGATTTTACATTAGTCTGACGTTATTGCCCATATCTAATTGATTACGTACTGCCCTTGTAATAAAATAAAATGGTACATGGTGGTAGCCTTCCTAAGGCGGGCTTGATGTTTTAACGTATATCGCTGTATCATAGTTTTACATATGGATGCTGTAACGTATGGAACTGATCGATAACAAAAACGTGACAAGCGGTCCTGAATAAAAACGAATATTAGTCTCTAAAACACTCATCCGATGTAGTGAGAAAAATATTAAATATTAATAAGAAAAAATAAAATAAGAGCGTTAAGCCCATGAAAGTCTGCCGGTGCCTACCATTGTCGTTTCTGTTCCCAATTTTAGTTAACATGTACTGTTCTTGATATTATTAAATATTACATTCATTTATGTATCCAACGCAATTTCAATTAATCACAAATTCATAAGTTCTGTTCTGTTCAGAACAGGAAATGGCAGGCCCCGGTAGATCTGCGATTTTTATTTTTATCTTCCTTTTTAGTGTTCTTTTTTATCCATTTTCCATTATGTTTTCTACAGGTGTAGGTTTTTCGAAATGTTCAATTTTGCATGGGCCCCTATTTTGTTTGGACTCACCTTTTTCGTATGCCTGTAATTCTTTCGCAAACCTCAGATAAGCCTGGAACGTTTCGTTCTTCATTGGCGAAGCTACGAGCTCAGGTACTTTTTGGAACTTCAGTATGGGTCTTTTCAAGGAGTAGTATAACAAACGCACCCAATAGATAGCACCACCCTGTGGAGGTGTATTCCTGCATAGTACAGGATGTCTTTTATTTCTCTAAAACGAAGACGAATACTGAGTTTGTTTATCAACCAGTGGATAATTTTGGGATATTTTTAGATATTGTTCACTAATCTGTGGCTGTCCTTCCTGCTCCGGCTGCGCCCATGAGAACGTGCCGGAGCTGGATACCTCGCACTGAGCTTTTGCAACAAAGGTGTTAGTAACACTGAAGACACTGTTATGTTCGATATAATTGCTGTCATATCACTCTAGATCATTGATTCCCAAAGTGGTCTATATCGACCCCTAGGGGTCTATGACAACCTGCAAGGGGTCTACGTCAGCGAAAAAAAATTTGGGGGTCCATGAAATGAATATGGTGGTCCACGATAGTGGATCTCAACACATACACTGATACTACCTATTTACTTACATCATACTATCTTATAATATCAAAACATATACATTATTTATAAAAGTACCTATGAAGTAAAAAATTTATTATATATGTTTATAAAATTGTGTAAGTTGTAGGATGTTGGTATTCGCTTTGTGGTCGCAATACATTTTGAACTTGTAAAAACCTGAGAGTCGCAGTCTCAGAGCTTCGCAACCTTGCACTGACTTGTTCAATTCGTTACTGTATAAATACGAATGTGGGACAAATACGTTAATTCGTTTCCTGAATCTTGAAAAGGAAAGTGCTAAGAAAATATTTTAAAAAATATAAACAGATAGTATATCACATAAATTATAGTGAGTCAGTATTATTTTGTTTGAGAGTGCTGGAGAAAAGTAAGTACGTTTTTTTCATTAAATTTTAGTTTTGTACTTGTAGTTAGCAAAGATAGATAAATTACGCCAATCATGACTTTAGTTATTAGTAGTTAAATATTCAATCATGCAAAATTACACGAGTAGTCCTCAATAGTTTCTTTTTGAAAGTTTTAGCAATCGGTAATATAATTACAGTGCAATCTCCTTAATTCGAGCTAATTGTTGCAAGAAGATGTTTGAATTATGGAATGTTTTCGGAAAAATCAAAAAATATTTTTAATATACAGCTGCTGGATTTTCTGTCTTATTTAAATAATTTAATTTTGCCCACAGATGACTGATGCCATGTCCGAATCTAAAAAGAAATGTAGACAGTACAGTGTTGATTATTTGAAATTTGGCTTCATTCCATCATTGCCGGACAAACAATCGCCTATGTGCCTTTTATGCAACAAAGTTTTGGGCAATGACGCTATGAAACCATCTAAACTGCAAGATCATCTGGGAAGATGCCATCCTGATAAAACAGAGAAAGATTTCAAATACTTTCAGAAGAGACCTACACTGGACAGAATGTTCGCTTCGACGTCACAAAGAAACAATAATGGTTTGCGGGCGTCTTACAATAGCTCGTTACTTATAGCAAAGTCCGGAAAACCGCATACTATCGGAGAGAAGTTAATTTTGCCAGCCGTTGAAGAGGTTTTAAAAACTGTTTTACACAAACCTGCATCTGATATCATTAAAAGAATTCCCTTAAGCAACAATGCTGTTGAAAGACGTATTGATGAAATGAGTTCTGATATTGAAAGCTTCTTATGTAATTATTTACAAACGACCCATTTCTCTATACAACTGGACGAGTCAACTTTACCTGATAATGCAGCATTATTATTGGCATATGTTCGTTTTATTATGAATCAAGAAATCTACGAAGAACTGCTCTTCGCAAGAACTTTGATAACCGACACTAAAGGTGAATCAATATTTCATGTTTTGAAGGATTACTTCATTGGAAAAGCAATTCCTTTATCAAATATAATATCAGTAGCTACAGATGGAGCACCTGCCATGGTTGGACGTTATCGTGGATTTATAAGCTATTTAAAACAAAATGTGTCAGGGGTGTTAGCAATACATTGCATCATCCATCGACAACATTTAGTTGCTAAAAATTTGAGTGTTAGGTTGCATGAATCACTTCATTTAGTCATTGATGCAGTAAACCGAATCCGAAGCAACGCGTTGAATACGCGAATATTTGCGCAGTTGTGTGAAGAAAATGACGAACACTTTCATCAATTACTCCTTCATACTGAAGTACGCTGGATGTCGAAAGGCTTATGTTTGACAAGATTTTTTGCACTTTTTGATACTATTTTAGAATTTCTGGATACTAAAGATAAAATTTTAAAAGAAAATTTAATGAAGAGGAAAACAGACATCGCCTATTTAACAGATTTGTTTACAAAATTTAATATGGTTAATTTGCAATTACAAGGCGACAGTTTAAATTTGATTAAAACAAAGTCCGTCTTATCAGCGTTTCTTGCCAGAGTTAAACTAATGAAGCAAAATATTGGACGGGGCGAATTTTCTCAGTTCCCCAATTTGTCACAGACAAGCTGCCAGGAAGACGACGTTTCAACTTACGTTCAACATTTAAATGCCCTCTATTCAGATTTTGATTCTTGGTTTGAGGATATTTTGACTATGGTAATACCACCGTGGATAATTATATGGTGACATAGAAGAAACGAATGTCATAATACAAGAGGAACTGACTGAACTAAGTACAAACGAAGAACTTAAGGTTCAGTTTAAAAACGGATATCAGCAATTCTGGCTGCAAAACAACTTACCCGTTACTTATCCCGTATTATGGAATATAGGGAGGAAATTTTTAATTTCCTTTCCATCGTCATACCTAGTGGAAAGGGGGTTCAGCGCTGTTACCAATCTCCTAACGAAAAAAAAGAAACGGACTGGACATCATTAGCCGAGGAGATTTAAGATTAACCCTTACAAAATTGACGCCAAATGTTGATAATTTATTATTAAAGCATCAGGTTCATCCTTCTCACTAAAAATATTGACTTATTGCTTATGTTGTTTTATTTATAGTTCATTTTATGTTTATTGGTGTCTGACCAATAAATTCCCGCATTTGGAATAAGTGCCCGCTTTGATTTTTTTAAAGAAAATATAGAAAATATTTTTTTTTTGCAAATTATTCTGAAAATTCAAGGAGGTACACACTAAAATTCGTTAATTTTTTGCCTATTTTTAGATAACTTAAACGTATAAGAAGCGGAATTTAATCAAACTAACAGTGAAATTATTGTAGAACATACGTTTATGTTATAATTAATAAACGAACTCGCTTATTGTACTATTTTAAGTAAAAAACTTTTTTTTATTTTATCCCTCTTATTTTTTTTTTCAATGCGGGCACTTATTCCCAATGCGGGCACTTATTGGTCAGACACCTGTTTATTTAATGTTACGTATATTTTACATAACAGATACAAAATTTTATTTTGAGTAGTTTTAATTTAAATTCAATTAATAAATGTATAAATTAACATGTGTTTTTACTTTGAGTTTTTAACACTAAACTTCACTACAGTTAGAAATTCACAGGTAATCAATATCATGTAAGTAGGGGGTCTACCCAACACGGGAAAACATGGCAAGGGGTCTACGACACAAAAAAGTTTGTGGAACTCTGCTCTAGATATTGTATGAGGTTTTTTTTCATACCTTAAATATGCCGCGAATGCTTATTTTTCATTGGTGTATTAAATGATCATGTCTGTTAACTTAGTGCCCGGACATAAATGAAAAAATACGTTTTTGTAGCTAAAGCAAGAGATTTATGACGAATTTCTTGATTTAATATGGGAAGCGGGGGCCCATCTTACATAAATCGTATATTTTTTTTTGTTTGAGGTACATATTAAAAGAAATCGATCCATTACGTCAAAGACGCCTTCTCATTGATTGATTCTGTAATCCACGGGCCTAAAGGTAAATAATCAAAGCACGTGTTTAGATCGCAAACATATTAAAACATTTAATTTTTTTACTAACATTTCGGCAACCATAACAGCGTTAGTCAAAGTACAAAAACAAACATTGAATGGCATTTTTGTTTTCTATTCTATAATGATCTTTAAGTAAAATCTACGGTTATCCTTGGACATGAGAAATGTTAATAGTATCAATACAATAATAAATGTTTTATTATTTTCCAAAATAGTGATTATAATAATCATAATTATATTCAGCTTACCGTAAAGTTGTCATCAACTTGTAACAGCTCTTTCATATACTGATCAAGTATTACATCGAATTTCAGCATTAACTTATTCAAAATTGCCTCTCTTGTTTCAATATGCCTGAACTTTATAAGCATGTCAAGAGCATCTTCAGAGGACCTAAAATGAAATTGAGGTCATATTTAGGAGTTTGTCTAGTGGGCGCAGTGGTAGTAGCAGCGAATTGCAGACTGAGCGTGGGATAATTGTAGGGCGTATTTTAGGTGTCGTAACGTGATTTGAGCACCAATTTGTACCATTTTATAAAAAAAATGTGGATGTCAAGTGGGGCGACCCCCGAGCCTTCCTCTAAATCCGCGCTTGAATGAAATGTCGTCGGAACTGCAGAAACAGGTGAAGTAACAAATGAAAATCAACGAATATGTGATGAATATGTAGATTTTTGACAAATCTCAGAGAAAAATTAGCAAATAACATAAAAAGCGTTAAAATCACACATTGTCATGATCCATGATATAAATTACGTGCAACAATTTTCCAAAGGACCATAAAGAATCGTTCTGGTCTCTATTTAGCTCCAAAATTGTATGAACACGTACCCAAAGACTTGAAACAATTTCGAAATACACTTCATTTCAAAACAAATTATCAAAATCAAATCAGCATAAATTATTGAACTCATATCAAACATTCATAAGGACTTATCGTCTTCTGTATGTACGAGCCCCTTCCCACTTCAGTTGGCCCACTTCAAGATTTGTACCAAAATATGCCTTTATAAACGAAACTATTTACTTCTAAAACAATTTATTTTCTCAAACATTTTAGATACACTCTAGTCGTAAAAAATATATATTTGAAATCACTTAGACCTATAACTAATAGAACATCTGAACAAATAAACAATGTGCGAATAAATGCGCGAAGTTAAAAAAGCAACAATTGAAAGATTACTATTGGGTAACATCACCTTTTTTTTTATTACGGCTGAAATTTTTTGGGGCATAGTGTTAACCAAGTTTTGGCAAAAATTTGGTGTAAAACAAGCCCATATCTCTTGGAGCTTTTGTCTCAGTTCGGTGATTGTACGAGCAGGATGTTGTCGTAGAACCTTTTTCAATAGGTGACAGATCTGGACTGCTAGTGATACATTATTTTCTTCCATCCATTTTATAGCCTTTTTTGAGGTACGGCATGATGCACCATCTTGCTGAAACACAAAATCTTGGCCGGATGTCAAAAAATCTTCCACCACTGGTAAAAGCGATTCTTCTAAAATTGACAAATATTTGTTTGTATCCACATTTCCATCAATAAAATGAAGTATTCCTACTCCTTTTGATGAAATAATGCCCCAGACCATAATGGATGCTGGAAATTTCACTTTTCTCTTCAGTCAAATGCTTCATTTTTTTAGCGAATAACTCTACTGCGACTGTCACCAACACAAACTTCGAATCGGGCCTCATCACTCCATTGTATTGCACACCATTGTTGAGGTGTCCATTGTCTATGTTCTTTAGTCCATCTAAGCCGATTTTTCTTTTGCAGTAGAGTTAATAGTGGCTTTTTTTTGGCCTATAAACAAGTTGTGCAACTTTAGGGTTTTTACTTCACTTTTTTTTATAAGAAAACTTACCTTGCAAGTGGTAAATCCCAGTTTGTGGACCTCTCTATGAGTTGTGGACCTCGAAATTCTCATTCCAACAGCGTCACTCTACAAAGCACTTAATTGTAAATAATTGGCACGCCTGTTTTTCACGATGATTCTTCTTAATGCTCTTCGGTCGGCACTTGTGATATTAATTTTTTTCACATATCGTGGCTTAATATTAACTGAACCAGTTACGTTATATCTTCTAACAATATTTTTCACAATGTACCGCGATGAGTCTAACAAAGTTGAAATTTCTGAGTTTGATTTCCCAGAATTAAAAAAACTAATTATCAGTAACCGAATTTTCTCACTAATAACCTTTCCTCTACCCATTTTGAAAACCTTAACTACCCAAAACTATTTTAAACGTACTCTGACAGCTGTGATTATTAAAAACAATTGTCATGGCTTTTATTTTTCACAGCCACCTATGCGTTATTGACTTATTTTGCATTGAAATGAAAATAGGTTGATATGCTGTAATTGCAACATGTGTTATTTTTATGTTGCAAATTTGATTAGGCAGTGATAAAGTTGGTGTTTTCTACTATACAGGGTGTCCGCAAAGTTGGGGTTTTCCTTCTCAGAAACAACTACCCTTGAAATAACAAAGGTAATGAATGTAGTGAAACGAGGGCGACCAAGTAAAAAAAATAAAGAAAAAAGTACTCACTCTCCAGTTGACGAGAAGGGCTAAGTACGTATCTGCCCGAAATCATACCGCTCCAACAGAAAATGAAATCAGCTGATGCGCTACCGAGCAGACGCAGGCAAACAAGGAAGGCAAAATGTTGCGTAAAAAGTCCAGGTATTGCATCCCGTCCAATCGATTTGGGAGAATAAATGGTCCAATGAGCATACCGTTCACCATGCCAGCCCAAACATTCACCGAAAATGTTTGTTGAAAAGGACCAAAAAGTCCGGATTATTGTCATGTTGATGCAACAACCACTCACAAAACCGCACTCTTGCTAAAAAATCGTCAGGTTGAAGGGCTTGTACATGTTGGACGTGAAACGGATACAGCCCCTCTTCACGCAGCGTTTGCCACACTTTAGTTTTTGATACTTGCACTTCTCTAGCCACGTCTCTAGTGCTTGTTGTTTTTTGAAACGCAATCGATTATACGAGTTCGT